ATAGATAGATCGAGAGATAGATAGATGGATCGATAGATAGATAGATGGATCGATAGATAGATAGATAGATAGATAGATGGATCGATAGATAGGTACATACATACACACATGGATAGATAATTAGATAGTTAGACAGATAGTCAGAAAGAAAGATAGATAGATAGATAGATAGATAGATAGATAGATAGTTGTGAAGAACTGGCTACTAGTTTCTAGCTAGTGAAGGGTAGACAGAGCGGTAGACATATCCGTTGACATTTTGTGGACATGCAGAAAAACTCGCTTCTTGTGAAACGGCCTGACAAATTTAACTCATCGACCGGATGGAAAAACCTTGAAGCCCGTGGGAACCTTATCTCCCGCCTGGCGAAGTTTGCGTACTGCTGCAGGCAGTGGGCGCCGGTGCATCTGCTGGAACTCATGGGGGAGGAAGGGCGTTCAAACATACCAGGGACTGATGAACTGGTGCATGCTCGCCACACCTTCGTCCTGGCAACTCCTGCCAAACTGGTTCTTAGAAAGTCAACCCTAACCACCATAAGCTGAAACTTCAACCAAACACCGGCAATGATTGGAGGCAATATACCAAAGCCTATCTTTTTGGTGTATCCATTCTTGCAACTATTGTTTTGTTCTTTTTGTACAACTTGGAGTTTGTAAGCGGTCTACTCAGCAGACACGGCCTATCACAAACACCTCGTCTACGCATGAGCGTTGACGACTTCAGCAGTGGAAACGACATCTGCAACCACGCACTGAACGCTCACTCGAAACCCGAATGGGCATCAAAGGCCTGGTGAAGTTTGTACACAGCTGCTGGCGGTGGGTGCCGGAGCATCTGCCGTGGGACAGGATGGGTGTCCATGGGTAACCTACATATACAAAGAGATAGGCAGATAGGTAGCTAGATGCATGGATAGATAGGTAGATAGATTTAGCTAGCCAGCTAGCTAGCTAGCTAGATAGCTAGATGAAAAGATAGATACATAGATACATGAAGGTTGTTCTATATCCTTGTTCCACGCATGCCAATTACGATCCCTTGTGCTTCGCCCTTGTGCGTTCCTTGGGCGTGCAAGGTTTGTTGAAGACCAGGGCTTGTTACGGTGGCTTGTTGACCTTTGGTGGCTTCGAGTCTAAGCTTCGGCTGCTGGTAAAACACCGGGGCTTCAAGGCTCATCTACCTACAACGCTGCTGAGTATCACTCTTGAGTCAACCTTAACAATTGCAACATGCCTTGAGCATAGCTTGCGCTCGCCCTTGCGCGCGATCGAAAGAGTGTGCACATTTGAAGCGACCGAGTTTTCGCTAATCGTTCTCCAAACATGTCAAAAGAACCAACCAAAAAGAACAATGCTCACATAGAGGTATATACAGATAGATAGATCGATAGATAGATAGACAGATAGATAGAGAAATAGATGGAGACATAGATAGGTAGATGTGAGGAACTGGCTACCAGTTTCTAGCTAGTGAAGGGTAGGTAGACAGAGCGGTAGATATATCCGTCGACATTTCGTGGACATGCAGAAAGAACTCGCTTCTTGTGAAACGGCTTGACAAATTTAACTCATCGACCGGATGGAAAAACCTTGAAGCCCGTGGGAACCTTATCCCCCGCCTGGCGAAGTTTGCGTACTGCTGCAGGCAGTGGGCGCTGGTGCATCTGCTGGAAACAAAGGGGAAAGGAAGGCCGTTCGAAAAAAACAGGGGATTTGCGGTGCTGATGTATGCTCGGCATACCTTCGTCCTGGCAACTCCTGCCAAACTGATTCTTAGAAAGTCAACCCTAACCACCATAAGCTGAAACTTCAACCAAACACCGGCAATGATTGGAGGCACTATACATACATATATATATATATATATATATTACCATATATATATATATACACACACCAAAGAGTCATTTTTGCTTTATCTATCTGTCCAACAATTGATTCGTTCTGTTTGTACAACTTGGGGTTTGCAAGCGGGCAACTCAGCAGACACGTCCTGGTACAGACACCTCGTCTACGCATGAGCCTTGACGACTTCAGCAGTAGAAACGACATCTGCAACCACGCACTGAACGCTCACTCGAAACCTGAATGGGCATCAAAGGCCTGGTGAAGTTTGTAAACTGCTGCTGGCAGTGGGTGCCGGAGCATCTGCCATGGGACAAGGGGCTCTGTGGAAATGAACAAAGATCTACCAACAACAGATATCATTGGGAACAATGAAAACATGCAACTGTCGATATGCACTGATATCGACATACATATATATATATATATATAATCTTTATATCTATATCTATATATATATATATGTATAGAAAAATGCAGATGCAAGCGCAAACCAACATCCAAAGACAGTGAAAGCACTGGCACCAAGGCAGACGGAGGTTGAGATATATTCACTGCGGGGGGTGTGCACGGGCTGAGTCAGCCCCCCAAGCCATAAACCCCACCTCTTCGGAACCGGTTGCTCGAACAAACTTTGACCCACACCTTCCGTCCGGCCTGGTGAAGCTTGCGCATTGCTGCTGGCAGTTGACACCGGAGCATCTGCATGGGCGTTTAGACATGCGGAGATTTGGAAGAACTAGAACCAGATCTGCTTGCAACCCGAAGCCCTCGACCCCAAAACCCTAAATCCCAAATTGAGCTGCGGGGCCGAACTACTTTGCTTTCCACTGTGCTGCCTGCGGCGAACCCTAAAGAGCCAGGTTTGGTGTCTACCGCTTTAGCCCAAACATCCCAAGAGGGTCTAACCAATATACCACGGTAGCCTCTGAATAGATACCTTAGATACCTTACCCTAAGGCTGTAAGGACTCATAGTTTAAGGTTGTTGGGTCCAAAGACCAGACGGTATAAGGCTTTTGGCCTATTTTGAGCCGGAGGGTTCGGCACTAAAAGCATACACTATACTGTTACTTGGACCCTCTGGGTATCAAGTATAGGCCCTAGGCCCAGTGCCCCAAGTTGGATCCCCATGCGGTACTCGTATGAGCCCGCACGTTTAATCCCAGAAATTAGAATAAGGTTACCAGCTTAGCCCTTAAAAAGCTATTGAGCCGATGTTTTTTACATAAATGTCAGGCCTCATAAGAGAAATATGGCCTGTCCCAAAGGTCTACCTAGGTTACTTGGACCCTTAGCCCTCTGGGTATGTGCCCTAAGGCTGAGGTTGATCCCGCCTACTATGCTCTTACTATGGGGGCTAAAAAAATAGGGTTTAGGGGTTTAGGGTTTAGGGTTAATACATCTACTGTACTGAGATTTGTACCCGAAAACCCTAGTCTGAATTTTAAGGCTCCTATGTGACCTGGAGTTTTTGCCCTAAACCCTAAACCCTAAACCCTAAACCCTAAACCCGGAGTTGCCTGCGGCAGCAACCTTCCATGAGAAGAAGCTGGCCCTTCGCTTCACTCGTGCGCGGGCGCTCGAAAAGGCCTGTTTTGTGGCTCGGGTCTTGCGGGCTTTAGGGAATGTTACCGAGGCATCAAAGCGTTTGAGGGCGTGCTTATGAGGTTTGTAGGGAGTTTGTATTGGGTGTTGTGGAGTTTGTTGATAAAGGTTAGTTCGCGATGCAGAGGTTTAGGTTGACTGAGGGTGTATCTATAGGGAGGGTTGGTGTTCTCAAACTAGGGATAATAAATGCTTGGGCTTACGGACGGAAGCTTAGAGTAGTATAATACAGCTAATATAGTTCATATAACTGTAGTATAGCATGGTATCGCATAATACATTCTAGGATCGCACAGTGCACCTGGAATGGCTGAAAGTGCGGGTTGGTTCTGATGCTCGAACACCCGCGAGGGGTCGAGGACTTCATTTCTATTCCTCTCTAAGAACCCTTACTCCTCCAGAAGTTGGTACCACCTATAGTCTCCATTGTAGTTCCTTTTTTTGGTTTAACCAATTATATATTAAGGATTTCCTAGAGTATCCCCAAAAAGGAACTACAATGGAGACTACAGGCAGGACTGAAGATGCTTCGTGTTAGGACTCCCGCATGGAGACTTTAGGGCTCAGGGCCGTGTGGGGTTTATACCCGAAGGGCACCGTAACGCGCTCCAACTGTCTGGCTTCCACCCTCGGTTCTTGCGATGCCTGGCTGAGAATGGGAGGATTCCTCTGTCCTCCAAACCCTAGACCCTAAACCCGAAGCCCTCAACTGCTAAATCCCACACAACGTCCTTCAAACAATAAACCCGAAATCCTCTATGGAAGGGGACCTGCCTGTAAAGAACTCCCCCTGATGGTCTTACAGAACCCATCTAGAGTTTAGGTATTACATATGGGGGTTTCCAAGAATAGGGGACCCCAATATAGTACCCTAAATAGTAGGATCCTTTATTATAAGGACCCCAAAATAGGGCACCCTAATTTTCGGAGCTCCCCATATCTAGTACAGGAGACAAGTTCAGACAGAGCCTGCAAGACCCCCCGAAGACCGCCACGCCCTGGATTTTGGAGGACTTTGAGGGTCGGGGGACTTAGTAAGTAGGTAGTAAGTAAGTGGACTTATGAGTACCTCAAAAAGGGACCCTAATTGGGGTTATGATACTGACAAGTCTATAAAATGACCATTTAATAAGTCCCGCGACCCTGCAAGGAGAGTCTTAAACCCTAAACCCTAAACCCTAAACCCTAAAATCGCTCCCACTTATCCCAGAACCGGAGCCCGAACCGGCCTCCACCGCCACTGCCAGAAGGGCTCGGCGTCGGCCAACTGCCATCGCCAGTGTAGCCCATGCCCGAAAGGAACGACCTCTGGAGAATTGGTGGGTCTTGGTGGCGTAATGTCTCGTTTGACTTTAAGGTTTTTGGCCGTGAGATTTGGGGTTTGCTTGGAGGCCCAGGGGACTTAGTAAGTAGGTTATAAGTAGAGTTATAAGTACCCTAAATGGAGTTACCCCAAATATAACTCTACTTATAACCTACTTACTAAGTCCCCTGGGCCTCCAAGTGGGGTGTTTTGGGGCTTTGTGGGTTTACGGATATACCACTATTCGTTCGCAAGCGAAGGCTAATCTCTCTTGTTCGAGGATGCATCCAACTTCAGAGCTTACGGAATTGCCGTCAACCATAAACCCTAAACCCTATATTGGCTTATGCTTAGGATCCTATTAGGGATTCCCAAGAAAGAACAACTATAGGGCCTATGCCTATGGGTACCCTAAACCCTAAACCCCAAACCCTATCTAAGGCTTCACGTAGTCCTCATGCATGGCTTATGGCTAGGATCCTACTAGGGAATCCCAAAAAAAGAACTACTATGGGGCCTATGCGTAGTCCTCATTTATGGCTGATGGTTTAGCCCTAAACCCTAAACCCTATATAACCCTAATCCCTAAACCCTATATTACCCTAAACCCCGAACCCTATCTAAGGCTTCACGTAGTCCTCATTTATGGCTTATGGTGTAGCGTTGCGGGTTTCGGATATCTCCCTATAGCCCTTCGGCGCGAAACTCCAAAGGCTCGGAGCTGCGGCATCAGCACCAGGATGGTTTAGGGTTTAGGGCTAGGGTTACTGGATGGTTTATGTTGGGTTAGGGAGCTTTCCCTTGGACATGAACCGTTGCCAAAATAATGGGTTTCTGGGTTATGTATGATGTGGTTAGCAACCTCTATTATTTAAAAGATGGAGCCCTAGGGCTTTTTGAAGTACAGAAAATTCAAATCAAAGCTGTGCCGTGGGAAATCTAGCTTCAACTCTAAACTCCCCACTTGCACGGACAGCGATGCAGGGAATGTGAATTACAACAGCCAAGCTTCGAAACCTACAGTACCTACAGTAAGGCTCGGGGCAACTCTCAACCTTTTGTCGCTTAAGGGCTCCGTTCGCCCGGAGAAAACCCTGAACGAGTCCCGCGCCTAGCCGTCGCTCATCCCAGGGCACCCAATGCCCATCTAAGAGCTGGCGCCGCCTCAACTTTGGTGTTTTGGGTTTGGGCCAGGCTTTGGCAACGACAATCACGGTTTAAGGGATTCGGTGTAGGGTTTAGGGTCAAGCCTAAACCCTAAACCCTAAACCCTAAGCTTCATGCAGTGTTGGGAGTTGACGGGTTCCGTGATGGGTATAGGTTTTGTTTGGCAAAGAGCCGTACACTTCTCAGATCACCTAAGAGCCTCTGCCCTGAGGCTCCTGAGCTCGACATAGCATGGGGGCCTTAGTAATTAGACTAGGGTTTTGACGCCCGTTATAGTAGAATTATAATAAGGAACCCCAAAATAGTATGGGTAATTATTTAGGCCCCTACATTAGTTGAGGAGGGGTCACACTGAACTTTTGTTGGTTGCACCACGTGCGTGGCATGTCGCTGAACTCATTGAAGTCCCCGGAGATGACATATATATATATATATATATGTCAATATATGTATATATATATATAT